TAATATAGGCAAACCTTACTACTATGCTCTTTTTGGCTCCATTTTGGCGATTTCGATCAATCGAGTGATTCCATTCACCAAATTCTACTGAATATCTCAAATTAAATTGTCTTTTCTTTGTCTTGTATTCATGATGTGCTGGATCAACTAAGCTAAGCCAAGCTAACCAGACAGGCTTATCTCTGTAAATAACCGACACAATCGTCATTTAGGTCTGAGCGTTTTAGGTTTGTCTATAGATCGTATGGATTTGGCTCAATTACACATGTGTTGCTGATAAGACTTCCTAGATTCCACTAAAGTTGTCATGAGAACACACTTTATAGATACAGTTCTGCGTCATGATCCATCGAATCTCATTCATTCTCTCAAATTCTAAGAAAATCTACGGAATTATTTCACTTTAACCAAGTCTCGCCGATAATTTTAGCCAATATACGTGTGATTTTACGATTTTAATGTACCTTCTTTATTACACTAAAGATTTATTATTTACTATTACTATATATTATATATATTACTATTACTATTATTTGTTATACAAAGGTTTGACCCTATTTTGCTCAAAACTCATAATTTTGTTAAAATAATTTAAGCCTTATTGTTTATTTACTAGGTGCACAAGGTACTTCCGAGGAGGCGATGCTCCAACAGGCACTTGCTCTATCCATGCAAACAGAGGGTGTGGCTTCAGCTAGCTTTGAGCCATCCATTGATTTGGGTGCAATGACCGAAGAAGAACAAATAAATTACGTTCTTCGAATGTCTATGCAGCCAGAATCGAATGTAAAGAAGGATGATGAAACTAAGAAACAAGATATTATGGAAACTGTAAGATATTTGACTGGATTTTAGTTTTATTTTAACAAGATGCTTTCACGAGCATTGTTTTAAGGTCATTAAAATTAACGATTTCTTATTTGTTTACAGTTTACGCTTAGTTTCATCTAAGTATTTTCGTGTTCAGGCATCATTCTTGCCTGATTCAGACAAATAATTTAATACATGCTTAACGTTGGTTTGGTCTAAGAACTATTAAATTTGCCGGGTATTTCTTGCTTTTTTTTTACTAAAAATGTATGTAAAATTCTTGTTTGATAATAAATCTCCCTGTTCTGTTATCTACTTTTACTTGCAAGGTACTTATCTAGTACCGTATTGATAATTTAAGGTTTTTGCCTAAGAAAGCTTTTACATGATTCTTGGTATCCCCTGATGAATAAATTTGGAAGGATTTTGCGATATATTGCCGGGAAAATTATCATGCGTGAGCGCATTGGATTGTGTGCCTTTTGTGTTCATTATTGCTCCATACTATTGGGGAAAACTACTAGTTTTCTATTCAACTGACCCGTATTTTTGAGTTCGTCTTATGGCTATTTTGCATTACTTCTATGTGACTTGGAGGCTTGTAGTTCTTTACTATTATTCATTCAATATTGAGGCTTTGAATCGGGGATGAGGAACTAATAGATAAGCTC